GACGCAGAAAGGCACATGGGGGCACAGAGCAGCTTGTCTCCACCTGACCTGGGGACAGGAGGTGCCACATGGCAGAGCCCTATGGAGAGGAGCCTGCTGGAAGGTGACAGAGGGTGAGCAGCGTGTGTCACCCCACAGAAGGCCATTCAGAGCACGTGTTGGTGACGTGGCAATGTGAGAACTGCCATACGAGGGAATGCTGTGCCTTGGAGAAGTGTCTAAAGCAGCTCGTTCCTCTGAGCACACCATCCAGGCTCCCTGCTGCTGTCAGGCCATACCTCACTCACTGGTCACACAAGTGAAGCAGCAGGCTGCCAGCAGGGCCCTGGGCAGCCCTGGCAGGAGTTTCCTCATGGGGCAAGAGAGGGGAGCACCAGCTGAAATGTGGGGGTGCCTGAGCAGGGGGTGAGCCCTCGTGGCCATGCAGCTGCCCCAGGGAGCTGTCCCTGCCTGCTGGGGGCTGCTGAGGCTCCCTCAGCAGAGTGAGTGCAGGGCCTTGCTGTCCTAGTGCTTACCTGCCTTTGGTCGTGTGTGCCTGGGAGATTGGTGACCAACACAAATACAGATTGATACAGGCAGAAAGACTGGGCTGCTTAAATCTGTAGCTTTCAGAACAGATGGTGCTGTAGGAGCCCTCTGCCTCAAAAAGCAGGATACAGAAAAAAGGGCATTGCTGCCCAGGTATTCCCATCAAACACACACAGTGCCTGTTCTGGAATGGCACTGGAGGACCCTGACACCACTGATGGACCATAAAGAGCTGGAAGTGCTGAGCAGGGTGTAGCTGTATTTAATGACACCTCCAGTAGCTGCACAGTGCCAGGGAGGTGCTCAGGGAGCAGTGCTCAGGGCCCTGACAGCCTTCCCACACTCCACAGCCTCTCCCAGGGCGAGACCACTGTGCCAGCAGCCTTCCCTGAGCCAGGAACCACTGCTGCCACTGGGGCTGGTGCCCCATCCTGGCAGGGCTGCCCTCCCTACCCATCCTGGCAAGAGCCCAGGTGGGGCACTCAGCCTGCCAGTTAGAGCTGCCTGAGAAAAGCAATGTGAATGAACACCAGAGTACCAACCAGCAGCACTTGCAGGTGCCCTAAAGGTGATACAGGTTCTTTTATGCTCTCCTAAATTAGATTCATGGGAATTCACGTGGCAATGCCAATACTGAAGGCTCAGGAGCACTACATCATTCTTTATGGGCACATTAATGTGGGTTTCAGTCTCTGTCACATTTAGTATCAGCAATTATTTCACACACAGCTGTAGATCAGCTCCCTTTTGATCACAATCTGCCACCCTTTCCCACCATTCAAATTTATAGCAACATTAATAGTTCAAAAGTAATAGTGTTTACTGTGTACTGGGTTTCAATAAATGAGGGGGGAGCAACAGTTCCTGAACAAAGACTCCAGAAAGCACCAAAGATGAACTCAATGTAAGCTTTTTTACCCCGATTAACACATCCTTGTCTATTGGCAGAAAGTTTCCATTGCAGCTGTGAGAAAATAATTCCATGGATTATGTCACATCAATTCAAAGTGAAATTCAAAGCCAAAGAGAAAGCAGAAAAGCATTCCCTGTGTTCTCACAGAAAATATCACTGCTTCAATTAGGTGCTACAGATGCTTGGGGTAAACATATTTTCCACTGGTTTTCCTAGAATCATACCCACTTAAATCTCCAATATTCTTCTGCATGCTCATTTCTCATTCCAGTTTAATACCACGCCTCTGGGTGTTAGTGGTTAGGGGATACTGCCAAGCAATGAAAGCCAAGGAAAGCTGGGATAAGAAGGGAAAATATGGCCTTTATATAGTAAATAAACTTTTCAGCCCTAATGTAATGGCTGCTGTCAGCATAACTCAGAGGGGGAGAAAAATAACCCAGTGCTAGTTGTACTTTTCAGTTCTTGGACCATGTGAATGTCCAGGTCTCCAGTTTTGAATCTGCTCCCAATCCAATGGAAATAATGCACAACTGAGCATTCAAGCCTCCCATAAATCTCATCTTTGTGCACAATCCCTGGGATTCAGAACAAAACCAAAACTAGATAAGACTTCCCAATATTTCAGTAAATACCATCCTTCCAGTTAAATCTTGAATTCTAGGAAATCTCTACATCCTTTTGATGCAACAAGCATGGAGCAATAAGGTTGGAATTAAAACACTGAGTAATTAATTCACATGAACTGCACATGAATACATGTCAAACATATATGGATTTCTTCAAAACAACAGCCACAGTTTGCAGCCTTGTTGCATCCAAAATATGAATACTCTGGAAAATACAAACCTCCTCTCCCACCAAAATCCTTCCCAGAAAATTTTAACCCCAAGTTACTACTGTGTGTATCTTTTCCTTGCAAAAGCGTGGGCAGAGGAGAAGAGGGGAAGAAATCCCTGTGTTTATAGGTGTTAAACTGCAGCTTACTTTAGAGCCAAAACATCCTGGCAGATGGTGCCCAGCATCTGGGAGAATGCAAATGCCCAGATATAAAGTTTGTTTTCTTTATTCCTCTTTATTGGGACTCCATTTGGTTGCAGTGTATTGTGTAAGATCTATTTCCTATGCTTGTCTCTTAAATTTAAATCTCAAAGCAACGTTTATAAACATTACAACCTATCAGTTATTGCTGTAGTGCAGAACCACTAATCTGAATTCAGATCAGCCACAGTGTGCATAAATATGTCACATAAAAATACATCTAACAACACTTTCCCAAACAAACATCTAAGATTTTTTTTTTAAAAGAGATGGCTGAGGAAGAAGAAAAAGATAGATTACATTAGCATACCTCATGAAAACAAATGGTTTGACCTTGTAGGAATAAAGGTAGCAACAGCTCCATTAGTCAAATAAAACCCTGTAAAATTATAAAGGTTGGCTGTCTGGGGGGCAAGAACCATCTCTCTTCACTCCTCCTTGACAGCAGCAGGCAGCACAAGCCAAGCAGGGCTCTGCAAGGACCCTGTGCCACAGGGGCTGGGCAGCACGGGCAGCATGCCACAGCAGTGGCCCTGAGCCTGTCCAGGCTGGTCACCAGTGAGGGTCCCATGGGGAGCACACCCGAGATGGCACCGGGCTCCTGCCTGGGCAGCTCTGCTGCTCTCACTGGGGCACAGCAGCTTCCCCCTCCTGCCCTGCCCTTTCCTGTAATTAGCTCTGGGTAAGTGGGAAAATCTGGGTTTACCTGCTCTGACTGCTGCTGCAGCTCCCTAGGGATGCCATGCAGATTTTGCTTTTCTTCAGTGGTGCTGGAAAACCACAGGACCTCTTTGTGTAGGATAGCAGGTCAAGGGTGCTCCCAGCTGAAAAACTGTGGGAGAAACCAACACTCAACAGAAGGATAGCTTCTTCCCAGCCCCAGCACCATGCTTAGAACCTTCTGTGCCAACTTTCCCAGGGCTAAGGGGAGTGAGCATCTCTATTTTTCTTGCTAAATTAGCAGCTAAGGGTATCAAGGGCTATCTGCAAAGCTGTACACCTGAAAAACCTAGAAAATATTCCCACGGAGGCCTGGGATTAAGAGATCTGGGAGTAAGAGACCTGGAGACACATCTTTTAAAGGTTGGATCTCTCCTTAGCATTGCTCTCTTCTTCTGCCATGAACACAAGTGAGAGCAGACAGGCGACAGGAGGATGCTGGTAAACACAGCCTGCTGCAAAGCCTGCAGACAATCCAGCTGTTACCAGAATTGTAGATGGAATAGGAATATTTTCTTCAAACTGAGTAAAATCTAATCCTAACAGTTTGCACAGCCCAATGCCCTCTGTGGTGCATTAGCTCCCACCCCTCCCTCCCTCACTGCCACCTCCATCTCCCGAGGTCTCTGTGCAGGAGCATCACTCCTGTGCACTGCTGCTCCCCATTCAGGTTTCTCTCATGCACCTGAGGGCTTCTCTCCCCTTCTCCTGCCTGGCTGCTGGGCTGGCTCAGCTGCCTGCACCTGGCCAGTCTCCAGCTGCAGCTTTCAGATTTGGGGGGCACGTGCCAGTCCCACACAGACTAATGAGAACTCCTACCCATTCCAAAGCATTTGGAAATCAAGTTGCTGCACTATTTGTCTAACTCTGAGCACCTCAGTTGTTGCCCAAGTTATTTCCCCATTGCTGCCCTTATGCTATTGGCAGTAGCTGTAGATTTCCTTCCTGCCCCCTCATAACAGGGTGGCTCTCTCCTCCCCACAGTGGCATCTGTATTGCCTCTTGTCAGCTCCAACACTGCCCAGCACCGGGCCCAGAAGACTCCTGGCCAGACTGGTGGAGGAATCTGCAGCCCCCAGGTGGTCCCTTGGGGCTGTCTCAGGGGTTGCTGCTCCCAAGGATGTCACAAGCTGCAGTAAGCTAAAAGAGGTTTTTTACACTCCATACCCACAATGGGACATTACTCTGCAGTGAGGTCAGGTGTTGTCCAAAATTTTTCCCTTATCTCTGGCCAAGTAAATAGCTGCATGCATGGAAAAGAGAGAAGAGAGAAACTCCCTTTTGCAAATGTTAGCGTGGTCTGCAAGAAATTCATAGGCTGACAAGATAAAATGAGAGTGTGCTTTTAATAGCAAAAATATGTTTTCTTTGGCCTGAATGCAACCCAGTGTTTTCCAGTACTCAAACTTAAGCGAAAGAGATATTAATTATTTAACAGGCACAAAAAGAGACCTGAGGAAATTATTCCTTCTTCCTCCTATTCAGTGCAAGGGTACAGCCAACCCTGGGTCTGGGATCACAGAGGGATTTTTCATCTGTTCTGAAAACATGATTCTTAATATTCCCTTCATTTCCTTCCTGCTAATGACCTCCTTGGTGCACAAAGCCTTGGAGTTCATCCATGCTCTCTTACCAGGAGCCCAGCTCTGGGTGAGCCCAGTCTGAATTGCTCGGGCCCTGGAGACAAACACTGGGTGCAGCTGGAGCCACCAAAAACTCCAAAAACGGATGCCAGAAGTTTCAGTTCTTTGGTGTCAGGAGGGAGGTGTGGGGCAGAACTGCTCCCTTCCCAATCCCAGGTAAATGCAGCTTGCCAGGAAGGTGCCACAAGGAGCAATGTCCATCAGGAATGACCTCCATCCCTGCTGGCTGCCCGTGCCTCCAGACCCTGGTGCCCATGGCTGCTCCTCCTGCTCACACCTCTGGCCCTGCTGATTAGAAATACAGGCAATTAATCTCCTGCCTAAACTAACAGCAAATTCTTCCTGTCATGGCACAGGAACTGCTCTGAGGGATTGTCCTGGGAAATTAACAGCTGTAACAATTTCCAGAAGCCAGCGAGTGTACAGGCAGTTCCCAGGGCAGATGATTCAGTGGATTCATCTTGTGTTTTGTTCTCAGCCTCTCAGCCCCTGACACCAGAGCCCCCAGAAGAACCTTTTGCCCCAGCTCTTGCCCCACAGTTTCCTGGCTTTACACCTGGCATGAGACAGACACCACTGGGAAGACACAGGGGAGTTACTGCACAGGGAGGGAGCAGCACCCCCTGAACAAACACCAGTTGTAAGCTGGTGTCGTTCTGCCAGGATTTTACCATCACCACCATCAGCCTTGTAGTGGATATTTGCTGACTGTGAAATTTAATGCTGGCTGCATTTTTTTCATAAGAGTTTGCACAAGCTGGGACTACTTTAACTCAATTCAAGAAACCCAAACCAAAACCCAAATGGTCAGAAATCATTCAGATGAGTCTTTTCTTATTCTCATTTTTCAGGCTGTGTTGAATAAGATTTTCTCCACACATAACTAGGGTGGAAACAATGTAGATTTGGGGAGGAGTGCTTAGATAAAGCCAAAATGTACTGCAAAAGAGAGACTTTGCAAGAGAAAGGAGCTGAATAAGGGCAGAATGATACAGGCAAAAGGGACAGGGTCCTCATCTATCCCACGATTTTACAAGATGCTGTAAGTGAAGTTAAAGAGCTGTCCTGCAGCTGGTCTTCCTAAGGAATTTTCAAGAGAAATCAGTAGGGCTTCAACTTGATAACCCTCCATGTGGGAACTTCCTTCATTTGCCGTGCAAAACTTCGTTTCTGTTCATCCCTCCAAGTGGAATATGAGTGGGGTGATGCTGGATCTTTTGTGACCCAGGTGTAGGATTACTACTAAAGCAAAATAATCCAAATGTACCCTGTAACCCAGCTCCTCCGAGCTGCAGCAAACACCTTTGAGGTTGTTTTGGAACACATCAGTGCTGCAAAGCCCCCACTGAAACCTCACAACACTCACAGCCAACACAAGAGCAGCCCACAAGAACTACAGGGAAACAATGAAGAGCCATTTCCTGCTTTTAGCACTGGGCAGAAAAGCTCAGTCTTTACCTAGAGCCCAGCAGCAGCCCTGGCACACAGACAACAAGGTGGGATGCCTTTGCTTGATCCCACTCCTTTCCAAGCAAGTCAGTGACGTTGTGGTTCCTACTTTTCCAACCCAAGGTTTAGCACATGCTCCTCACCTGCCCCATCCCTCCTGCCCAGCCATGCAGCCCCACAGTGAGGAGAAAGGGACTGCAGCCAGCTGGACCCCAGGCAAGGCATGCTCATGTTAAATACAGCTCACTGCTGTAATGCTCTGCAAGTGGAACACTCTGCAGAGGAGACCTCAGAGCTGTGCTGCTGTCTTTAGCCAGCACACTGAACTGCTCTGTCTTCCAAACCCATGTGTTTTCTCTTCATTTAAAATCACAGTGCTTCCTTTGAGGCAGAGCTGATGACAGAAGAAGAACCATCTGCCCTGGCCATTTCTGTTGCAACCCTTGGAAAATATTTGGGCTGTTTCTAGGGCCACGGTGTATCTGTGTAATTAAGCCTGACTTACAACGCCTTAAGGTGGGCCACGGGTGATGGTTCAAGAATCCCTGGGTTTTCCCACTTGTGAAAACTCCATTTGGCTTTGTCCCAAATCAGAATATAAAAGGTCATGGTTTTGCAACCTCCCTTGAGGCGTGGGACCTCAGAACATTCTTGGCTTAGACTTTCCTTGTGGGGAATCAGCCCCACGTACCTGCTGAGATGAGCAGCAGTAGAACTGGCTCAGAGCAGAGCACCTGCCCAGGGCAGGGAGTCACTCACAGGACCCTGCTCAGCTGCTGGGCTTGAGCCACAGGGCTGGCCCACAGCCACTGCTGGAAAAGCAGGCAAGTATCAGCATTCCATCAATATCTCCCTGAGGAAATGCCTCCTCCTGATTTCCTTGATAGAGAATTGAATTGTCCTGCTCCTCCAAATCAAGTGTTGGAGTTTTCTTTCTAAAAAAAAAAAAAAAAAGGAAACACTATGTTTTACTAAAACCACCTATTTGTCTCAGGAAATAGTGAGGGCAACCTCCCAGCCAGCTCAGTGTTCTGTACAGCCTCTGCCACCAAGAGACACAAGCTTTCCATCAGGAGGTGCCTTTCCAGCCTGGTACACCACACCACACTGCCTTACTGTCAGCAGAGCCTCAGCTGGGAAAAAGCATGGGCAACCTGCTACACAAGCATGTGGGTATTTTGCTATACCAAGGAAAGCCCATGACCACGTTCAGAACATCAAAGGTACAGAAGTTTCTCAGAATTTGCATGAAAACTTGTAAACAAAAAAACCCCTGACATAACACCAAAAAAAAACCCCAACCAACCAAAAAAAAAACCCAAAAAAACAAAAAAAAAAAACCCAAAAAAACCCCAAAATATACCCTGAGTTTTGGTTCTTACTCAGTTTGGTCACAAGAGACCAGATGTTTTCAGGCTGATAGAGAGAGAACTCAATAGCAAGTTCAGGTCAGTGTCAGCTGTGAGTCTGTAGGATGTAAGTGCTATGGACAAGATCACCTCATATTTCTAGATTAGGTGACAACTTGAACTCAACGGTTTTTCCACGGTTAAAAGCAGATCTTTTGGAAAAATAAAAGGCTAAAGCAAAGGGATATGGTGCTTATTCAGTTAGTACAGACTGTCCTTTTAATAAATTAACAGACCTGTAAGAAAGACCTAATTAAAAGGCTCTGTATACAACAGCAGTTTAGGAAAAAACTTGAATGGAATAAAATTTTGGGTAAGAACTTTTACTTGTGGGTTGGAAAACCATTGACTGTTTGACAGGTATGATGATGACTTCCAGAGATCAGTGATGGATGCTAAATCACGGACATTTTGGCCAAAAAAGTGTTCTTATCAGCAACTCTTCTGGGAAGCCAGGGCCTTTCTGCATCTACAAACCTGTTGTGTTCTGGTACAGATATTGTGCTGCCACGTGCATAGACAGGTAACTGCCAAACCTGCAACCTCTCAGAACACAATATGCACTTTGAAAAAAATGTGGTTTTAGGAGAAGTTACAAGGGAGAACATCATAAGTATCTCCTTTGGAGGGTATGGCACCAATGCCATAAAGCCTGGAAGCTGATTTTTGCACTGAGAGCAGGAGTTTTCATTTATAAAGGCATAACACAGCAGAAAGCAAGAGCCTCACAGACATGTACTCCTAGCAGTGATGTGTGGTGAAACCTGTGCTAGCCCAAGCACAGCACAGGGAGCCTCCTGAGCCAGACTCTCTAGGACATTTCCTTGACCTGTGCCTAAGAGCTGAACATGCAGAACATCAGTTTTGCAATATGTTAGTTGTACTTATTAAATAGCTTTCCGTAATACATACTGATATTATCTTCTGTCATGGCCTAAAAAAACACTTTAAACAACAGTTTCCTCAAAAATCAAACAAAAATTTATATCAAGCTGAGAGATGATGACAGACTTCTGTGGAATTAAGCAATTTCTCTCAGCATTTTTGTGGGCTTAACTAAACTGAGAGATTACAAGCAGAAAGGAAAGAACCACCCCCAGATTTTCCATTAAAAAAATAGCGAGGAAACATTCTGAAAAAACTATAGAAGATAAACAACTATTAGACATGACGTACCATAGTCTTGACCTCCCATCCACAACTGTTATTCCCACTCAAATCAATTGCTGATATAGTTTTCTTCTCACCCAGCAGCTCCAGATGTTTTTCCTGAACATTCCTGCTTGCCAAAGGAGAGCATTCACAGGGAGCAAAGGAGAACACAGTGAAAAAAAAAAAACCTTTGGCTCTCTGAGCACCAAGAGACCAACCACAACTGCAGCATCTCTTCCAAGAGTTCCTCAGTGCCAAGGCTGGCCCAGGCCAATCTGCTGGGAGGGCACAGCAGCTCTGTCCCTACAGCCAGACCTAGGACAAGCTAGGCAGGTACTGGCCCATCACTCACCCTCTGAGAGGAGCAGAAGCAGGACAAGCATCACAGATAAGCAGGCTGCTTCTCCAGAGCAATTCAGGGAAGTTGCAGTGAGTCACTCCTAGTCACAGAGGGGGAAAAAACCCACACAGAGGTATTAAGAAGTCAGATGGATTGATTGCACCATCTTCATAATGGGAATCTCAGATTAAAGCCCCTCACCTGCTGCTTCAGGAGCACTGTACAGCCCTGCAGATAGCTGAGTTGGTTATTTTGAATGCACAGATGTATGATGGATAGGAGAATAAACCTGAATCATGCTGGGTGCTGCTGTTGGAACAGTTAGGAAAAAGTGTAGCCATCTGACACAGAAAACCACATTGTAAAATTAGACATGAAGTCTGCCAGGATGGATTTACTTGTGTTTATGAAGTGCCCATCAGTGATGTGGGTACTGTCCAAAAAATTAAACAATGTCGTTGATTGCTAGAGGAAGGGCCAGAGATCAGCAGAAGTTCAAGAGGAGCTTGTGCCTTTTCACACAGGCTACAGCCAAGGTGTTCATGGAATGCACACCCTGTGCATAGGCTGGAACTTCTAAAGGGTTCTTCTAACACATGTTGTTTTATCTTTTGGGCCATAAAAATGATGTACCAGAATTCACATTGCTGGTTGGAGCTGGGAATCCTCACCAGGTTTGCAGTTCTGACACAACCCCCCTGCTCCAGCTGCCCTCACTACCTCTGCCCAGGGATGCACAGGGGAGAAATGCTGCCTCAAGCCCCCCCAGCCCATTCCCCCCTGCCATCCCCCAGCTTGTTGGCAGACATGGCAGTAGAGAGATTAGGGCACTTTTTAGCTTTTCTGTCACCTTTACTTGGTGACACAAGCCTGTGGATGTCTTTCATATTGCAGGCAGGAGATCCTGTCTGCAGGATAAATAAATCTCACTGCAAATGCTGCTTACACACAACACATGATTCTGCAGGTTAATGCAGCAATTCTCCCTGCAAGTATGTCCATGGGACAGTGTCTTCACAGGTTAATCCTTGCTAGGACCTGAAAACTGGTAACTCTCTAATGCAGCAAACCACAAATCTATAAATTCTGGGATATTTAACCTGAAATAGAGCAAAAAGAGAGAAGTACATGGCAGTACCTTATGCAGACAAGAAAAGTCGTCTCTACAGACTTTCTAATGAGGCTGGGAAGGCTGATTTGATTTCTCTCTTAAGTCAGCAACAAAAAAGAAACATTCATTTTCACAGTTATTAGCTGCTTGTTCCATGATCACGAAAGAGTTAAGTACCCAAGGCCTGCAGTTTTTCCAGGGTGTTTTGCATTTTTCAAGCCTTAGACTGAGAGCCATTGAGCAGTTACCACAGGCAAAGCTCTCTCCAAGCAGAAGCCAGAGCCTGGGAGGCTGGGGCGCTGCTGAGCCTGCTCCAGCCAGCTGGGACAGCAGCCAAGCCACACAGAAAAGGACAAGTCAGGTAACTTCTTACAGCAGCTTCTTTTCTGCTTACTCTTCTTCTGCCTGCAAAGAAGCACATGGACCAAAAGGCACCAGTGAAGCACGTCTGAGTGCGTGGGAGGCCAGGCAGGGAGAGGGAAGGGGCAGAAGGAGCAGCCCCACAGAAGGGCTGAGTCACCTGGTGCTGGGTTTAGGGTCAGCAGGAAAGAAGTGCAGGATGGGGTTGGGAAAGGCTTGGAACACAAATGCCCAGCCCTACTGCAGCCCAGGGACAACTGCAGGGAGGGAGGGGGACAGCAAGGAGATCCAGGGGAGAGCAGTGCCCAAAGCAACACGGGATCCCACTCCACCAGTGCAGCTCTGGCCCTGCAGCAGCATCATCCTGAGCTTCCTCTCATCTGCACAACATTTTGTTCGTTATTTTCAATTAAAAATAAGTGAGCTGTACTCACTGTGTCAAGGACACTGCCCCTCAGACTGCTTTTCTGCACGGCACACTGAGCTGATTTAGAGGGCGAGAGAAGCTGGGTTTGGAAACTGCAGTTCTGGGGGTTTGGCAGTGTGACAGTTTCCTGACGAGAGGGATGCATGTAATGCCCTTTCTCTTGCTGCTCTCCTCAGCTCAGGCATCTGTAAGCACTTCTCCTCAGATCAGCTGGAAGTGACATATGGAAGAAGTTAGATTTTAGTAGAGCTGACTCTGCTCAGGCACAAGATTGTTGGTAACATGGATTAAAAGGCCAGTTCTCTCTCCCTGTAGAGGAATATTCAACAGATAAACTTGAATAGGTAACAAGAACACATGGGATTCACCAGCTTGGACAGTCACTTACCCATCATTAACAACCATTATTTAATCCTCTGCTACTACAGTTATTTTGTGTAACTAAAGACAATAAATTGATGTTGAAATACCTGAGGAAAAAAAGAACACATACCCAAATACCGGATGTATTTTGCTACTAATAATGTATTTATCAACCTGATTTTGCATGGCTCTGATTTCTGATTATGTACAATCCAAGTACCTAAACATATAATAGCAATTAGCAACTTGCACACAGCAAAAAAGAAAGGTGCTCCCAAGGGCTTCATGCTTGTCTCTGCTCTCTCTTTGAAGTGGTGAATGAGTTGCAAGTGGTGGTTGCTAAGAAAATAGGCAAACAAAGACTAGCACTTATTCAGGCTGTGATCAGCACTGCAGCACCCTGCCTTCTCCCTGTTCAGAAGAAAGGTTCATTATTTCCCAAGGGAGCTATCCAGGCCAGCCCAGGCTGCCCAGAGCAGGGCTGGGCAGTGAGGCAGGGGACAGGCTCTGAAATACTAAAATCAAAGTTAAACCACAAGACTGTAGTGCTGTAGCTGACAGTCAGTGGCACACAGGCCTGACCAAGCTGATTGCAGCAGGATCTCTTCCCTTCCCAGACAGGTGCTCTGCTGTATTCAAGCAGAGATGCTTTTCCATTTCCCACCATCTCAATCTTTCCCAGGACAATCCTCTTCTGTCACACAGGCAGGACCCACCATGCCAAAACAGGGGAGCACAAAAAGCATCACTCTGAAGTCCCATCACAGCAGTGATTCTCAGAGATGCCCTGACTGCACAGACTCAGCCATCTGCTGTGATATGTGCATGCAGTGAAGGCTCTCCCTGCTCTGCCAAGGAGCTCCAGCCCTGCCAAGGATTCCTGTGGCAAAGCCTTGGCAAGTCAGAGAATATTCCCATTCATTTTCTCTCTCCATAAATTGGCCAAAGCCACCTCCTGCAGCTCAGGCCTCAGCAGAGCTCCTGGGCAGAGGGATTATTTCTTCCCAGGATCCTACACACCCACAACCCTCAGTGCTCTTTCCATTAACAAGGTTTAAAACCCCAAAAGCAAGCAAGAATAAAAACCCAGCAGCAGCAGCACATGATAACCCTCAGTGCTCTTTCCATTAACAAGGTTTAAAACCCCAAAAGCAAGGATAAAAACCCAGCAGCAGCAGCACATAATTTGGAATGCAGCCCTAGGCTCATGCCCACCTTTGTGTGCCTCTGTGCCAGTCCCACTGGAAATTTGTGGAGTTTGCTCAGAAATGGAGTGCCAGTCAGGCCTGGGCTTCTGCTTGAGTCACTGAGGATGCAGAGGTGACTCAGTCTTATCCCTTCCTTCTTTCCCTCAGTAATTTATACAATTATGCCCCAAAATACATGTTTTGGCATAAGAGCAGGAGCAGAAATCAAAATACTATTTAATAAAAGATTTTAAATGAAACTGCTGGCTGTCTACAGCTCTAATTCCCTCCCTGCATCTAAAATTTAACCTGGAGCAGAATAATGATAGCTTTCTTTTTTATGATTTTGTGGAGAATTAAAGATGTAGGTCAGTCCCATGCAATTGTGCAGGATGCCCCCTCAGACAGAAAGAGGAATTTAGACTCCATGTCACCCCTGTGCTAGAAATTGCTGCAGCAAGGAGGAGGATGGCAAACTCACCACTGAGCAGCTGGAGGAAGGGAGGGGGAGATGCAGACACCTAAGAAGCTTCTCACCATTTCAAAGCACGGTTCTGCTGTACCAAAGGATGTAATAAAGCAAGCTGGGTGTTTCACATTCCCTGCTGGGGTACCGGGGTGAATTTTCTCGCTGTGAAAGTGTGAAGAAGCTCCAGCAGCAGCAATGTTAAACACAAGTTTTCCTTAAACACCAGTTTTCCAGGCTTACATACCATTACCTCTGGTGAAAATAACACAACATGGACTTGGGCAGGAACTAAAACCTTCCACCCCAGCTGCCCTTGGCCATCCTCAGCACCTCCCAGAGACTGTGCTTAGTGGCATTTGCACAGCACAGACAAGCCCTGGCACGCTGTGCTTTACTCTTGCTTATCTCCCTGCTGGGCACCTGAGAGTGCACACTGTCAGGAAAAGAAGCACCTGGGAGGGACTTCAGAGGCAGGCACTTTTTAAAGGCACTTTTTAAACTATGTTTTAAGGAAAGTCAAGTGCTTCTTGCCCTCCAGAGGAACCCGAGAGTGGGATGTGCATGGGTGCCAGGGCAAAACAAGCATTTATTTTTAAATACATTGCAGGTTTTGTCTGTGTTTGGAGGAGGAGGCATGCCTGGCAGACAGCAGAACAAGAACCACACTGGGGAAAGGGAATAATGTTCAAATTAGGTGGGAGGAGAGGGAGAGGAGGAAAAATAATTGATTTTCTGAAGTCTGAAGGTGCTTGGCCCAGAAACTACAAGCCTGAGAAGAAGAAAACACTAATTATATTTTTAAATGCATATTTAAAAGTATTTGTCATTTCAACTCACCCAACATATTTATATTAAACTGCTTTTCTTTTCTTGGAGACTTGGTCTTTAAAATGTTAATTGGTGACTAAAGAATACCCTTAAGGAAACAGATTTGCTGGCATTTGCTGGTTGGGTATGTTCAGATTATAGCTTTGAAAGGCTGGGGTCTTGGGGTGTTTTGTCTTTTTTCCTCTAAAAAGAAAGTAAAAAATAGCTTAAAGTTTCATTGCTGAAACTGTATTTTCTCTGAATACCTTCCCACCCTCATTATAAAGAAAAAGAGCAAGATTAGAAAGTTTGAGAGTTTGGCTTTTCAGTGACCAAGGCTGGAAGGATTTCAAAGGATTCCAACTTCAAAACTGCAGTGGTGCCCAAATACCACATTGACATAAGCTGCAGGCTCTGGCTTTCAGCAGTGGCTGCACTCCTTGTCCCTCTGCTGCCGGTAGCTACAGTAATCCTCCCTATCAGGAGTGCACCAAGAAATGAGGTTTTATGGAATAATCTCACCTGGAAAGCAGAAAAGACAGGAGGTCTGACACACGAGGCTTTGTTGTGAGCTGCTCTTGGAGCTGTCCAGGTGAGGTGCAGCAGCAACAGGGCAGGCAAAGATCCTGCAGCAGGGGCTGCTTCACCAGCCACAGCCTGGAAAACTTTCCTATCTACAACTTTAATTTCTAGTTTGTTATGATCTCTGCTAAATGGCAGTTAGATTAATGCACACTGCAGCTCCTAATGCATTTTTGCAAGTGTAATTTACTCATTTTTCAGTTGACCTACTTCAAGTCAGGCCTGGTATTAAAGAAATCATTCAGAAGGCACTGCAAGCTCTGTGCTATACCCTAAATAATGGGCAATGCAGGGACCCCTGGCAGGTGCAACCTTTATTGCCAAAAACCTTCTGGAGCAGTTAGCTGG